CGAGAAGGGATGAATATTGTCCTACTTTGGGTACATCTGAAACGTCCATGTCGGCTCTTCTAAGACAAAAGATGTCAGATCACCAGGTGCAAAGCAACCTTCACAAGGATGCTGAAAGGTATGAAGGCATAGGTTAAGTATTTTTTGGGATCAATTCGTGGGAAGTCTGGGCCAATGTAACGTGGCTATTTCTGACCACAAGTTACACGGCTTATGTAAGTGCCCCTTTGATGATGTAATCAGATAACTAGCGGCTTGGTCAAAGTAGCCGCTGATATTCAAACCCTTAAGCCTGGCAATAAAAGTATATGGAAAATGGGTCAATGCCAGGTACCAGATTGTTGTCTGGGCTACAAAAGTAATGTGCTTACGTTCTATTTCTGACCACTGAAGCTATCCAAGGCGCTAAAATATAACCTATCGCAGGGCAGGAGTACTAAAAATACACAGGGCCCATTCGCAAATCTCCTTTGCTGATGAAGTATAATCACCCAGTGACACCACATCACTCTGTGGAAGCAATAAGCGCCCGACCCACCAAGCACGACTTTCAAGCAGTAAGCAACATATAATCAATATTCTACGCCCTACAAATCATGTGTAGACATTGGCTGATAACCTTCTCAAAGGAATCATCTCGTCAGATTATTACAATCAGTAAGCGCCCGCCGCTGTCCCCAGACTCAATCCACCACCAATAGATAGCGGAGAAAGAGAGGCGTCGGCTGATCATCATCACTGGGCAGCGATAGTTACATGCGTCAATCCACACGCTGCCAGCTCTATGGGAGACAACAAGCGCTTGACCCAGTTCTAAAAATTGATACACTATTAATAAACAATAGGGAAACGAGAGGTTGCTGTTCCTGCATTATCATTGGGGGGTGAGTAAGATGGGCGTCAATATTTGTTTCCTTGCTAGTGTATAAGGGTCGCAGTCAATCTCCAACATCGATGGAAAATCAACTCCTCAATTTCAATAGATCGATCCATTTGCTTCTGTTCCACCAACTACTTTGAGTGACACGAAAAGTATCCTCGCTCGCATTCAAGATCACAATGTGAGTTTATTTTTGTACTATTTGTATAGATTGCAATATCCAGGCTGACCAGCAAGACATACTTGTCTTATCAAGCTTTGCTACAATGCCTACCTCTGGTAAATCGACCGGGCATGGGAGCCATGTTGAGCTGGCTGCAAGTGGCTAGACCTCGGCATGGAACTTCCACGGGTAGGCATTTTGGTTCCAGACCCGTGGAACAGGTAGACGAGTCCTACCCATTACCCACCATGGGTACCCCGCGGAGTACCCGTGAACTATCCAAAAATGCATAACTAACCCTTTTTGGACATGCCAAACCGCATAAAACTACTTATTTCTTTAATTAAAATACTAATTTTAATATCTGTTCTGATCATCTTTTAATGCATGACGCGATATAATCACAATATCTACATAAATTAAATATCAAAGTTCGAAAACATTATCAGAAACTTCAATAATAATGGAATGTGTTTATTTTCAATCGATTATATACTAAAATAAAAATGATTTTAAATGATATTATGGAAAATGCTTTGTCGAATGTTTAAAATATATTTTGATATTTGAAAAAAGTAAGTGTATTTTCTTATAAAAACTATCTTTATTCCTTTATATAATCTTATATTAGTTAATTATATTAAAACATTGATAAATTGAATTGTATATTCTATTTTTATTTTTAAATTATTTTTTTCTTAATCTTATATGTTTATAATATGCATAAAAGAATCTTAAACTATTAGATTTTATTGAGAATTAATGAAATTGAAATATAAAAAAATTATTAAAATGAAACAGATATTCTGTGAATTATTTGCGAAACATTCATTTATTTACAGATAATTCACAAAGTATTTATAAATAATCTGTAAAATTCATCAATTAAAATAGTTTATTATTGATATAATAAATCATTTATTTGTATATTATTATAATTTAAAATATCTAAAATCCTCAAATCTAAAATTATCAATCGCTAAATTTATTACAATAAATATTTGCTTTATTATATGATTCTATATTACCGACCTGACTTCATTTCGTTTATTATAATATTTTAATTCTTTCAATTTTTTAACGCGTATACATTATTTTTATATGATGTTAACAATTCAAATAATTTTCAGATTATTCAATTAGATGATTTCATTTTTAATTTTTTATTTAATTAACAAACATCACAATCAATCATTAGTTCGAATTTCATTTATTTATCTATTTTTGTCTTTATATTTTTCTCTTTTGAATATATTTGTTTTAATGGAATTTCAACATATCTTGTTTATTACAACATAACAAAAAACAATTTTGTAAATTAATGATTTTAAACTAACTTCAAACAAAAAAACAAATATATTGAAATATTTGATAACAATTTGACATTTGAAAACATTTTGATCAAATAATTAAAACCAACGATAAAATGCTAAAAATCATGTATAAACAATACGAAAAAATGCTTGATCATTTACAATAACATAAAAATGACATTATAACAATGATCAAACATTCAAAAAAGATTGAATGTTATAATCAAAATAAATTTAATATTAAACAATTTTTTCAAGAAGTAGTATTCTCTTATGTTATAAAAAATCATTTAATTAATATCTTTCTTTTTATTAAATCATATCTTCTTTAAATAACCTTAATTTCATTTAAAAGACCTGGGAAGCAAGTTTGTTCCGTTTTATCACTAATTTTTAACTATCATTTTAAATTTTTGAACATTCCGACTTTCATCATTTAATTTATATAATTTCTCGTGTCTCAAAATATCCACAAATCCTATTTTCAAAAACAATTCAATATTGATTTTAAAACATTATCATCAAACATTAAAATAATGTTTTTCAAAAACTATCAAAAAATGAAAAATTATTAATGGCCTTAAATTGCTAAATATTTTTCTTTTAACAGACATTTATAATAATTATTGATTACTTTTTTAATGAGAATTGGAATTATCGAAAAATATTTTTTAATTTTAAACTATTATATGAAATACACTCAAAGATCAATCTTAATGTTATTTTTTTTAAATTATTTTAGAAACATCAAATCACAAATAAAATACTTGCAATTATTATCGACAATGCATCAAACAATAATATTATATTATCGAATATTCAAAATACAAAATGCAATAATCTAAAATACAAGATCAATTGATTTGTTCAAAATAACAAAAACAAAAAATCATTAATATATTTAATAAAATCAATTTATAACTTTAATATAATGAAAGTTTATTCATTTATTCAATTATATATATATACAAAATTTAATTATTTTCATTAATGCAAATTCTCAACGCTTAAAACTATTTTGCAAACTTCAAACTACATCAATATCTTTTATGTCAATTCAAAATATTAAAGCACATTGAAATTCAATTTTTTTTATATTTTAATATATAAACTGTCTATAATTTATGTTCAATAAATTCTACATTAAATATAAACATTCATATTTGAAATTTGATCAAGAACAATGATGTCAAATCAATTATCTTTTTTATATTATTTAATCTTTTTTTCAATTTACAAATGCGCTTTCAAAGACAAAAGATATCATAATATATTTTATCTTTAATATTTATAATAAGTTTTTTAACTATTTTGAAAGATTTATTAATCAATTTAAATATAAAAAGATAGTTTGAAAAAAGATAATGTTAAACGTGTTTTATACAATAAAAACAAAAATTTTTCAATATTACAACAAAACAAATGACATTTTTGACAATTTTTTTATTATTAAAACAATGTTTATGTCGCAAAATAAATTTCAATTGTTTTTAAAAAAAGATTGAAACAACAAGTAATATAATTGATATCATCAAAGTTTTATAAATTATTTCGAATCTTATAAACAACAATTATTACAAAATCAGATATCATCAGAGATTTATATATTTATAATGTAGATCTTAAAATTTAATTTTGAACGAATATTCAAAAAATCTGAATCTTAACAAACAAGTTTAATTAAATGGAATGAGTTTATGAAATATTTTGACTTTAATTAATATTATTCTAGTTATTTATATATTTTATTAATAAATATTTAGATATTATTAACGAAATAATTATTTAAACATTTTAAAAAGATCATTAACGTAAATTTCTTATATTCGCAAGTTTCGCACGCGATATTCTCACAATTTTTGTTATTAATATAAATATTAAACGTTTTTTTAATTCTATTTGAGATATTTGTCATTACTGTCGAAACTCATTAAGATTTAAAACAATTCAAAGATTCATAATATATAAATTTACAATATAATTCAAAATCGAAAATGAAAATCTTATTTTCAAAAAAGATTATTTCACAAGCGGAAAAATCGAAGCAAAAAAAAAATCTTTAGTTATTATAAAATATTGATCTTATTAATGATAATGAAAAAAATATAAAAATTATACAAAAATAAAACATTATTTAAAATCTTTTTCATAAAATTTTATTATTTGACAATGAAGTTACAAATCTTTTTTCAAAAACTTAACAACGGATTTTGAATAAAAATCAGAAACGAAAACGGAATGATAATTAATTTATTAAATATTAATTATAAAATTAATTCTGTTTTAACTTATTTAATATCCGAAAAATCTTAAATCTTGATTAGTTAATAATTATATATGAAATATTTAAAATTACAGCTCGAATATGCACAAAATATGCAAATCATGGATTTTCATTTGTTTGCATTGTTTAACTACCCGCGGGTACCCAAAAACTACCCACGGGTATTATTCAGCTACCCACTACCCACACGCGGGTAGGCGAACCCTATCCATTACCCGCCAAGAAACGAGTAATGGGTACCCCGTTTGGGTAGACCCGCGGGTCGTGGCGAGGTCTACAAGTGGCTTTGCCGGAATGAACTTTCAACGGCCCACTTTCCAACCCTTGCGATTCGTCCCTGCAGGACGACAGAACGAAATAATGGATCAGGTTGTCCGGTGGGTTGACGCGGTTGGCCACGACAGACTTCCTAAAGGAGGCAATCACTGGTGTCTTTACCTCCGTGTTGGCGAAAGTCGCTCGGTACGCGTTGACATCACGCCTTCTTATGTTGTACCTAGTATCTCGATCCCAGGCGGCTCAAAGGCCAATATGATAGTCAGCCTTTTGGATTATGGTGTCTCGCGCTCAGCACAGAAGGTTGTGAAGCTTGATGTTCCGCGTGGCAAGACAGTGCGCGAATTTGTGGACCTCCTTATCCAGCACGGCCGGCACAAGTATGAGTTCAACGCCCAGAGCCAGGGCTACAGGTACTAGACTGATCACCAAATCAACCTATTTGATCAGCACGCTCTATTGGTGAACCGAGCCCAGATCGAAGCGGCTAAGGCAGCTATTCTTACCCAGTGGCCCGATCAAATGAGATATCCTCTTGTGCAAGGAGGCTACTATCAATAGTCTATTGCCTCGGTACTTCTTGGTTCCATGCTCCCCTTACACACTAGGTGTTCTTAGTGGATTCTTTGATACCGACGAAGCTAATCTGTGCCGAAGTTCTGGGGCGCCAAACGTCTCGTCGCGGAATACCATATCAGGGGAGAGGCATAGTAATCAGGTTTTCTGCTAGCTGGTGTTGCGTAAGGGCTGTTTGTATTTTTTCAATATTGAAATAGTCCATGTCAATGGTGTTTTTGTTGGTTATGAATTATGTAGGATCAAAATCCTGACATGTTATTTACGAGCTGGAAGGGATGCTGAAGCATCCTGGCTAAGTTAAATCTGCCTAGGGCACATTGTACATTCCCAGTTACTGCAGCGCTTTACTGGATAGTTTTGGGAGATGTGTGTATTTCGAACGGTTTGTGGCATCAAGATGTTGAAAGAGCAATTGGGAACCGGTAGGGCCCAAAAGGATGATTATGGATCACCACAGCCAACCACATCGAAGGTGACCTAGTAGAGAGGGAAAGATGTTTATCCGGGAAAGCCGAAAAAACGAAGCAATGGAAACCCGGTTCGTGGATTTTGCGGAGCTGGTTTGCGCTATGATCATTGGTGTTCTTCTGGCTGTGGTACTAGCTGGAGGCCCACGTTTTAATTTCGCAGGTACAGTCGCCCGTGTAAAGGAGGCTATTGAATGGATGATTTTATGGTACACTTCAAGAGTTTAAGAGGCAATTGTTGGAATACAAATGATTCTCTATTCGCCTTTGGTACAGCCAGGCTTGGTGTAATTATAATGTACGTATCAGAATCTCGGACCACGCCGGGGTCGAAGAGTGTACCGCGGGTGGCTAATCAGCTCCGATTGTACCCCGTCAGAAATACTAGTACTTTCTGGTTCTTCACTCAATATGCTATGGCTGCTGTTGCATGCTGAGCGATAGCGTCTTGAACCTTCATGAGCTAAAATAATCTGATCTCTAATATTTTTCATTTAGCTGTAATAAATACTTTATAGAATATCCTTTTTCCTTTGCGGAAATCGAATGGCGATCTCATTCCATGTATAATCATTATTTTGTAATGCAACGAGCTTTTGTTTCTCAATAAATAATAATGATTCGTGTTTTGCAAAGAATCACATTTGATTAGATTTCTTTCGATTTTCGACAAAATAGATTCATATTTTCAAATCCCATATTAGATCTTTTGTAAAATGCGATTCAATATTTCTTTAAGATAGTGTTAAAATCTGAAACAATTGACCATAGATCATTCAAAAAATGAAATAGTTTACAGTAATTAAAAAATGTTCAACTTTGCAAATATTAATAAATAGTGTTGTTTCATTTAAATATCACGAATAATGAAAGTTGGAATATAAAATCGGATTGATATTTTCCGGATAAGAATTATAATATTGAAAAACAAATCTTAATAATATATTGTTTTTGTTGGCTTTCTTTGGATTTCATATTTTCATATGCGAGAATATAATTTGGTTGTTTCGCGTTCAATAAAAATGTAAAATGAATTCTGTTATATTGAAACCATCAATTGATTGTATATGGTTTGATAAGACAATATGTTCAATTTGATTCATCTTTAAATTTGTGTCAGACTCTGTTCCGATGTTTTGAACAAAATAATATAACATAGACTTTTCTAAGACTGTATTGGAAATGATCTCATGACATATGTTTTGTTTTGAACGTGCATAATCAGAAAATTCCAAACAATCATATCGATTTAGTCTTATAATATAAACATTATGTGTTCCTTTCTTAACTAATATAAACAATTGAATTTCGATCATAATATCTTGACAAGCTGTAAAACATAGGCCGACATATCGATACTCTTCAAGAATTTGGTTCAATAGATCGTTGTCGACATCATTTATAATAAAAAGTCCCTCACAAAAAATACCGGGTGACAACTGATCGTTATTCAACATTAAATTCTAATTTTCAAATCACATATTTTTTATCTTTAACTCTGATTCAACTGATACTGAATCTTCGACTAACAAATTGTGCGTAAACCTGATATATTCTAAATTTTCTAAAAATTCTTTACATTCAACTCGGTAATTAGCATGCAATTTTGATAAAAATGAAATTTAAACGAAAATTCGCTTTTAGATTTACATTTGAACGAACAATCTAATTGCATTAGATTATCAATTTTTTGTTGCACCTTATCCAATCTCAAATAATATTATGCATCAAAGACTCTATTTGTGAAGAATTTTAAATCTATAATATTGTTGTTAATGCTTTCTTAAATGTCACATGTCAAAAGAAGATCATAAAAATGTGTTCCCGACAACAACTGTAGAGAAATAAATAAAGATCTTAAATCGTTGGCCGAATCTTATAAAAACTTTAATTCTTCATCAAAGCTGTGAAAAGAAGCTGGATCTTTGAGGATACTAATGTTTCTTTGTGAAAAGAAATTTTGCTCAATGATAAAAACAGATTTTTTCGTTGATAACGGTCTGACATATTTAACAAACGATATTAAATTAAAATGATCATGATCGATCTCGACAAACGAAAACTGATTATTTTCACGCAAATAAAACCCTTTTTCCAAAACATCCGAACTATAAACATTATATGTGTCCGATAAAAGAGAAAGACTCACAAGAAAATCGAGTCCATTCGACTACATATCACACATATCAAAAATAATTGCCCATATATATTGGACGTCTGCACAATATTAACGGTCTACTTCAATACATTAATGTTTTTCAAATAAGATATAAATTGTACGAAAAAGACGTTCGCGTGTCTCATTATCGCAAATAAGATCATTACTTATAAAAAAAGAGATATTGTCGAAAGCCGCTATTCTATTGTTATTTAAACAATCCTCGTCTTTTTGTGCATTGTCTGACTCAGATGCAGAATTCGACGTTAAATGCAAGCTGAATCGTTTCTTTCTAAAGAAACAAAATGGGTTGAAACCAGATTTGTAAAAAAGAAAAGCGTTTATACTGTCTGATCTTCTTGTAGAATTGACAAGAGGAAACAGATATAGCAGAAGAAATAATAAGATTATTATGTTCAAAATTGGAATGAGAGCTCACATCTTTAAATATGTTACTCACAAACAGAAAACTGATTAACCGCATTTCTATCGAAATTCCTACAGATCAACATCAAATAAGCCGTGTGCAGACAACTCACCGACTGCAATATTGTTACGGGACGAGAAGAAGCTTCTGTTCTAAACGTGCCTTTCGACAAGAAGGAATAGCTGGAGAGCTATTCCTTACGTCCGTACGAATCTTTTATTGTGTGGTACGCTAGTGCTAGTGGCCGCAAGGCCTTAGGCACTAAAAGATGCCTTAGGCAGAGCTTTTATATCTGGGGGCAGTCCCATAACAATAGCCCTCCCCTTCTTCCTGTCCGTTGTCCTTCTCTTGTGAGGTGTGCTGTCTTCGTACAGGCTGGCTGGATAGACCCGTAAATATAGAATAAGTCCAACACAACAGTCTCTTCCTTGGTATTGTTGTTCATACGAGTCAGTCTTCTCTAACAGCACTGGCTGTCCAAGAAGAGCTTTATCGTATAGACCACACGACAGGTACCAAGAGAGTGGTCAGGCTAGTCTCTTAGGGTCGTGTATATTACACGACACTCTATATAAGGGGGGTCTCTCCCCCATCGCATCGTTTTTTTTTTTTTTTTTATCATTGGGATCGTCGTTCTTTTTTCTTCTGAGTCTATCATATTCAATTGTCTCGTACGAATCTCTTCTCGCTGATTTGATCATATCCAATGAAAAAGCCTATGAAAGCAACGCTCTTGTTTCGGTCTGTTATAATCTGTTTGTGATCGCTGTCAATTCCGCTGGCCGCAATTTTTTTTTTTTAATTGTTCACGAGCAAATTACGTACGATGGCAACACCGGCCTGCCCGATCATTGGGTTACCGTCCGTTTGACTGCGCGGGGCAACGAAGCCTTGTTGCAACTTTGTTATACAAAAAATTAGCGACGTGTGTGGCGGTTCCCCTGTTACGAGTTTGAGATGCGGGTTGGGTTTATCTCTATTGCGCAAATAAAAGAGACAGGTGCGATTGTCGTACGATATACTAACAATTGAAGTAAATGCATACTGGCCGTTCGTTCTATGTCAACGTCTTTTTCATCGCGTCTCGCGGGTTGGTGATGTCGATCGTTTGTTCACACGACAATTATATGAAGTTCTGGTACACCGTATGATTGCCAGGATGGTGGGGTGAAATTTGCGTCAGATGCAAGTTCCGGGATCATGGGGCGTGTTGTGATTATTATGCTTCGGAAAAGGATCAGTATGAGTCTGTGGCAATTGCTGTTCTTTTTAGAAATATCATTGAGGAATTGGATGATTGAGGGTTGTACGGTGGTGTTGTTGTTTTTGTTTTTTTTTTTTTTTTGTAATTATCAGGGTAGAGTAGGCCCTTTTTTCAAGTTGATTGAGAATTGAGAATGTTTCTGTTCGGGAACTAATATCTGTGGGTTGTATGGTAGTTAGTTAGACGTAATTGTAGTTTGGTATTGTTATCTGGCCGCGGCTTCAATGTCGTTTATTGTTGTTGCAGATTCTCAAGTTGGTTTAGCATAGTCTGTCCATTTTACAAGATATCATCGTTGATCTTTTCTTCTTCTTTGTACATTTTGTTTATCCAGAATTTTGTCAATTTTATATTTTTTTTGGCCATCTACTATAATAGCAGATAATTGTGAATCGTCCTGTTCTTGAGATGGAAGTGGGTCGTTTGATATTGGGTGGAGTAAATTGATATGGAAAACTGGGTGAATATCTTTTGGTACATTCAGTTGTACGGCATGTGAGTCCATCAGTTTTGTAATTGTGTATT